TTGAATGGTGGTAATGGGTTGTCGACTTTAACAACAACTTCTCAGAAAATGCCATGTGTCTAAATTTGAAGAAGCCACATGTCTGAATGGTGGGGGTTGTAGCCTGAAAGCCTTCCTTTAATATATATATATATATATTAGATAAGCGGCAACGAGTAGTTTTATTTGTTTATTTCTTAAAGCCTAAAGGGAAGGGTTAGATCTCGAAGCACGGGACTACTAATTAGTGGTAGGGCCCTTGGTAACTAAACATGTAGTAGATATTTAGATCAAGATCCATCCTTGGATAGGTCCCGCCCAAGAGACAGCCTACACCAAAAATCAATATGATCTGATGCATGTAGATAATATGTCCATGCACCATTTTCAATGCTTTGAAGCATGGTTTTTAAAAACGACCCGAAGATCGAACCGGTCAAGGGTCTAGTTATTGGGTCGAACAATCTGACTGTTCGACCTGAACGATCGGCCCGTTCTGACAAAAATAAAAACAAAAAACGGTCAAAACCGTTTGAACGGTTAACCGCCCGGGTCAACGGTTTGCTTACCAAAATCAATGGTTTTGGGCAAATTTCCAGTTTTGGGGAAAATCGAAACCGATCACCTAACCAATTGCCGATTTTTCCGGTTTGACTGTCCGATCTATTCCAATTTTGAAAACCATGCTTTGAAGTAACACTTCTGACAACCATCCAAATATTTGTTTCAGGAATATACATTTTGGATGATAATCTGAACTGAGTTTTTTCCCATTTAATCTTCAAGGTGAGATCCATTGAATTGGGGGAAGGGGGGGGGGGTACAATCATCCTAATCTAGCAAAGCATTGCAACTTATGGGGCCCAGACTAAGTTTTTGCTTCCTGTTATTGATTATAAGGCTTTCAGCCTTGTGTAGTATCAAGCTATCAGGCAATGATAATAGGGTTTTATGTAGTTTGTCTAGTATTGATTTCTTGACACATTCATGAGATTATAAGATCATTTGCCCTAGAAAGTGAAGAATTATTTTGTTTTGAAGCAAGAGATTACTTGCCTTGGCTTTTGGCAAATATCCTGAATTCTTGTTGTAACGATTCCATTTTCATGGCTTGTAGCCCGTAGATCAATAGCAATGACTTCTCATGTGTTTTGACAAATTGATGGCAGGTGTTACTTGGAGTTTGGGTTCGAAAAACAGGGACAAGTTCACTCAAAACCTGACCATATTTAGGAATGAATTTCATGTCAAATAGTATGTGGTTTCCTATAGATACATGGGCACATCTTTTGGGTGAAATTTTCAACCAATATGCTAGATGAACAATCATTGTGGCGATCTATCATACTTCTTTCCATGGTTTTTAAAAATGACCCAGAGACCGAACCGGTCAGGGGTCTAGTTACCGGGTCGGGCCGTTCAACCCGAACAATCGGCCTGTTCTGACAAAAAAATTAAAAATTAAAAAACAGTCAAAACCGTTCGAACGGTTAACTGCCCAGGTCAACGGTTTGCTTCCCAAAATCAATGGTTTTGGGCAAATTTCCGATTTTGGAGAAAATCGAAACTAGTCACCTGATCGGTTCCCGATTTTTCTGGTCCGACTATCCAATCCGATTTGGTTTTCAAAACTATGCTTCTTTCGGTTGCAGATAGATTGTCTTGGTACCAATGAGAGAACCTTTGTAGATGATCTGGTGTTAACAAAGGTGAATTATGAGCATCACTGATATGATTGCAAATTGGATCAGTTTTCTGTGAATTATTTTTTGTTGTATTTAACTCTTTTTCTGTTTTCCCTAGGGAGCTGGGGAAGAGCTAGAAATTTATACTGGGGTAGTCAAAGGGCTTGTGGCTAGCTAGTGTGATGTTAATGGGGATCAGGTCAATTCTTTTTTTCTTTTACTCAAAGAAGAAAGAAAGATGTATACAAGTGATTCGTTCATCTTCGTATAGAAGTGGATTTCTGAAGCAGATCTCTGTACATAAACCCTTGTTTTATTTTGTAATTGTTGGTATAAGCTGAAATTTACAAAATTCCTCCTTGCCCTTGTATAGCTTCCAATGTTCTACGGTCCTACTATACTGGTGTTGACCATTAATGTTATTGAAAACAGTACGAGAGGGAATCTTCCTCAGCTTCTAAAGACACTATAATGCGGATATTTGCCTTCAGGTCATAAAAAGATTAAAAGTTAAAATGTGATTGCATAAACTAGGGCTGCAAGTCGGGCCGGGTTAGGTCGGGTTGAGGCCAACCCTATCCCAACCCTAAGTTCTAAACCCCAACCCTAACCCTAACCCAACCCGACCTTCAACCTGACCAACCTAACCCTAACCCTAACCCTAACTAAATTCCTTCAACCCTAACCCAACCCAACCCAACCTGAAGTCAATTTCGGATTGGGTTGGGCTCGGGCTAGGCCCAATCCGACCTTCTTCCCATCCCTTAAAACCTTATAGAATTTCTTGATTTTAGATCTTAACTCAACTTTCACTACATACATTAATCCTATGCTTCATTAGTATTTGTTTATTGATGTTTTTTTTTTGTTCTTTTGGTACAAAATTCAGAAAAAAAAAATCAGTGTTAGAAATGACTATAGTTTATTATGTGTTATGGCTTACAATAGATCTTTTTGAGCGGCAAACAACATAGAGGAGATGAATAAAATTTTCAAAAAATATAAAATAATGTTATTAAGGTTTTAGTCTTTCAAAAAACATTATATATATATATATGACATGTACTATAGAGTCGGGTTCATGAATTTCAACCCGAGCATCAACCCGACCCAACCCAATCCAACATTTTCAGGTTGGGTTAGGGTTGGGTTCGGGCCAACTTGGCCCAAGTTGCAGCCTTAGCATAAACCAAGGGTTAGCACAGTTGGTACCCTAGATGATTTGTCCCAACGTGGTTATTTAAAAATAGAGCCCAATTAGGGGTGAACTGAACCATAAAAACTCCAAAAAATAAGGGTAAATTTCTTAAACTACCCCTCTAGAAATTGACTAAGTATATCTTACTCTTTGACTATTGCATAACGGTACCCTACTGTTTCTGACAATTGACTAACTCTACGCTTACCATTAATATTCCGTCAAAACTTGTACACGCATGATGTTTTTGGAAAGTATGAACAGACCTATGTAGATTTCTGAATTCCACTGCATATCTATAAACATTCAAAATGACAAATACCCCCACTCTATAGGCTTAAAAATTTTGACCCTGGGCTGAACCATCATTCTCCCTATTTTTTTTAAAACCCAATTTTACCCTTACCCTCTTCTTCCTTTCAACAGCGGCAAACCTGCTGAAACACCAATATCAGTATCAGCAACCTGGATCTTACAATATGTTTCCTCTCTAGTGTGCAGCAATCCATATTGTTCCAAGCGGCCCTTCGCCAATCCGTAAAACCCTCCCTTTCTTCTTTAAGGTTCTAAAGCAGGTTCACACCAGAGAGGAGAAATCACAACAACAACGACGGTGACGATAAAGGAAAAGGAAGCTTCTGTTCTCTGCTGTTGCAGAGTTGCAGGGAAAAAGAGGGACCTTGGATTTCAAAAGAGCAGCAAGCGATTGTTGGTTATTTGAGCGAATCTGAAACTTCTCACAGAAGTGGACTTCTTATGGATTCAGCAATTTTCTGCGCTTGAAGAACCAACTTGGAATCAAAGCATCGGCAGAATTTGAAGCTTTTGCTTTCGGTCCAAGGCACTGATTGAAATCACTAAATCTTTGGAGGATCTGAAGCACAAGAATTTTTTCCCTTCATTACCACAATAGCAGTTCCGGTCGTGTGGGCGGGATCCCCGACAAATTCGAGCGACGAGGAAGTCATCACCTTCGAATGTTCCCATTACGGCGTATAGAGCAACAAGCTGCAACAACATGGCGACAAGCTGCAACAACATGGCGGAGCTTCTCGATGAGAACGAATGACTTAGGAAAGAGAATACACACCTGAAGCACGAACTAACCCAGTTGAAGAACTTTCCAACAGTATCCTTGTTTTGATGACGAAGTATGCCAATAATCAGCAAGAAAACCGTAGCTTCTTGGCGGAGAAGCCGCTGCTTGATCTATTTCTGGTGAAGCATATCTCAGAAGATTCTGATGCCGACACTTTGGTGGGTCAGAGCCGAGTGAAACGGAAGATGGAGTCGGTCGATGACTATAGTCCATTGGTGAGGGGGTGGTGTGGTGGGTATAGTTGCAGTGCTTTAAAGACTTGTATACGTCAAAATTTGGATAGGGAACCGAAATTGAATTGATTTTCAAATTCGTATCGTTTGCGCTTTGTTCATTTGAATTCACCCACGACGAGATTGAATCATAACTCTCTCTCACTCAACAGATGCCGGAGACGATCGGTTTTAATGGCAATAGAATCCAGAGGCGACGAAGTTGAAGTTGGAATCGGAGTTAGAGTTGGAGCCGGAGATGTAAATGAAGACGGAATTGGAATCAGAGACAGTTGGAGTCGGAGACGTAAATGAAGACGGAATTGGAATTAGAGACAGAATTGGAGCCCGTGACACAGATAAAGATGGAATCAGAATCAGAGAGAATTAGAGCTGGAGACGTAGATGAAGAGCTTCTCCATTGACTGATAGTTGGAGCGGAGGGGTTGTGGCGGTAAGAGGAGGGTAAATTTGCAGACAAACAGCAACACTCTTCGCTTCATAGTTTTCCAACACAGTGATTCAGAAACAGTAGAAAACTTGGTGACCAAAACACTCTTCACAACCCAGGGGTCTTCTTGGTGGGATGAAGGGCAAATTCAATCTGTCTTCGAAATATCATCGGAACAGTTCATCAATTGGGTTTTATTTTGAAAGTTGAGAAATAATGAAAAGCAAACAGTAAAGGTATACTTAGTCAATTTCACAAACAATAGGGATAATTTAAGAAATTTACCTAAAAAATAATGGCCTCTAAAATTTTTATCTTTACCCTACCCTTTATTTGCACATGCACAGTAATGCAAATTTGAAAAATAAAGATATCATTAGAATCAAAAAGTTATAACATGGACGAAAGGGGAGAGTTTTACTACAAAATGTAATTGACATTTAATTTGGGTCATGGGTCCCCAATTAATACATCCAATACAAGGCCCTTGATGCTAAACATTGCTACCCTGACAAGCTGATTCATAGACCATGTCCATGCTAAACATCTGTAGTAATCCGTTACAAATATTACAAAAGATGACAGTCATGAGAAAAACAACTAAATCTTCTGGAAAGACTACCAAGAAGACTTACTATGTATATATATAAAATATCATCATGTACAAAATTATGGACACCTCTCTCATGATCTCATCTCATTGCTCTTCATCGTGGGTGGTCGAGGACAGTAACCAAGCAAGGTAGTCAGAACCCTGGCTCAAAGCCGAATCCATTTGACTGGGTGGAAGAACCCTCTTACGCAGCAATGTCTCCACAGCCGGGCACTTTCTTTTCCGCCCACCCCTGGGCCTTGTGCGGAATAGCTCATCTGACTCCACAAAATCCCCCTGAACAAAAGAAATCAACATTACCCACATTTCATCTCCATTGATACCGGAAGCAATAATGCATTGCTTCAGAAATCAGAATAGAAGCACTAGCCTCCAAAAGCGTCGTTTTCAAACTTACTTGGACATAAACATGAGTTCCTGTCTTCTCGTGATTATCTCTTACATGCTTGTAAGGAAACTTCTTGCCACATCCAGGAAATCGGCAGGCAAATGGTCTAAGCTCGAGATGAACAGCCTTTATATGCTGGTTGAGATTTGATTTCTGAGTCATAAAAATAATTGAACACCAAGAGTTAGCATCCAAGCAGTAATGCAAACTGGACTAAATAACCAACAAGCTTTTGGTGGTTAATTTATCAATTCTTTTAACAAGGAAATCATTCATTTTTTGATTTATCAATACTTTCCAAGTTAGTGGGTTGAGAATGTGTGAAGACGTTTAAACAAATCAAAACCATAATTATGTATTTTTCCAAAAAAAAAGCTTGTCAAAACAATTACTTCAAGAACTTACAGTTGAGAATGTGTGAAGACAGCCCTTGAAACTGCACTTAATACTCTCGGATGTAACTCCAGCTTCGTGTGTCCTCATATGTCGCTTGATATTCTTCTTCAGTTGCTCCACCCCACAGACCTCACAAGTGATGTACTGGTGGCAAGACTGGATATGAGCTTTAAGGCATTCAACATTTGTGAAGCATTTAAGACAGCCTGGTTCGCTGCAGAAAGCCTCCACAGTATCCAGCTTAACTGCAATAGTACTTGATTAATTAGCCTAACTTGTGATCAAGAAATGATCACCAAGAGAAATTCGTTGTTACAATGTATAAGAATTTGAAGACAAAAGAATGAAAGTCTAACTATAGTGTTGTTTTTTAATACTATTAAATCTAGGCATCTATAAAAACAGCTTAATCAAACTCAAAAAAGTTCAACCAAAGAATTAACTAACCATGAGAGTCCATGTGCTTCCTCAGCTTTGATGCAAATCTAAACACCTTTCCACACTCCTCACAGGCATGCTTCTGACCATCACCCTCAGAGAAAGAAGGCTCTTCATCATCATGCATTTCATTCACATGCCGCTTCATGTTGCCCTGTAAAGAGAACATGCGATTGCAGTTCTCCATAGGGCAGGTGAAGAGTTTGCCTTGGTGCTGGAGGAGGTGTCGAGTCAAGTGATCTTTTCGTCTATAACTTGAACTGCAGTCATCCACAGGACAAGTGAAAGGCCTCTGCAAAGTAGTAAAATAAAGAGTGCTCAAATCAACTTTTTTAGATGCATATATAATATTACAAATACACATGTTAACATATTTTCAAACCTTGCAAATGAGGAAGTGCGTGATTGAGGCTGTCTTGATGGAGCTTCTCAGGCGGTCCCCCTGCCTGGTACTGGTCCATTCAAGCTAATGAACCACCCCTCGCATTTTGGAGTTCTTTACATGGGATCCAATGCTTCACGCTATAACATCTATGGGTTTTTGATATTTTGATAATCCAGAAATAAACCCTAAAGCCTGCGAGATAAATTCTCCTTAAAACATGCAATACTGAAGAAAATGTAAAACACCAATACAAATTCCCTCACAAAAGACGTCAGTAACTATAGAAACAAAATGTATTTGTCAGCCAAACAATTACTTGCACCAAAAATTCATGTCTCAAACATGAGGAACGGATAAAAGATGAAACCCAATTACTTTCTCTTTTTTTTTGACAGATGGAACATCAGTCCTGCATAACTCCATTTCAACATAATAATTACTGAAAAAAGCATGGCCTTAACAACCATCCACTTGGAGAGTGTTTAAGTTCCACAGTCAATACTGTAACAATCCCCTAAATTAAGCTCATGATGGCTAATATTAAAGAGTCAATGGATTCAGTTCATGAAGTGTAGGAACAAACAGATAATAGATTAAATTCATCAAGGGGAACTACAGAGATAACGGCACCACCCTGCCTGATCACCCCATTCCCACCAACTCCATTTCTCGTTGGACTCTTTTAATTTTGGCAGGGTGGAGGAAGTATCACAGTAGCCCCAAGAGAACTAATTTCAAGTGGATAAGCTGAAAAGGTATGAAAACTATTCTTAATTATACTGTATTATACGCCAGCAATTTCAAAAGAGCATTAAAACATTAACATAAGAATTAATCACTAAAACAAACAATTTACCTCGATTGAATGACTTTGCATATGCTGTTTCAAGTATGCAGGTTTTCGGAAGCTTGCACCACACTCTTCACAAGTATTTGATTTCCTTTTCTCTTTTTCTTGGTCATTATTATCTCTTTTCTCCTCCATCTCGTCCTGAATTTTACAAGGAATTGCAGAAAACAAAAACTAGTTGAGAAATCATTTTGGAAAACAACAATAAACATTTCACAAAGAAAAATGTCCAAGTGGCAAATACAAACAAAACCCACATGATTCTACAACCTTAATTCATACAAACACGCAAATAACTGCGATTGTACTCATTAAATACTAAATTAAAAAGTAAACCATCAAAAACCACAAAAAACTTGGATCAATTTCAATATGTTTTAATCTTGATGAGGGAAAAAGGTAGATAGAGATGAAACCTTGTGGTAGGTGAGGATATGAGAGGTAATCAGAGATTTCTTGGATCTGCAAATGCCACAGAATTCACAGTAGTAGCGCCTTATGTCTCTGAAAATTGGCCCTGTAAAAGCACCTTCTTTATCTCCTCCTTCCATCTTCTAATGTTTTTGTTCTTGAGTCGAGAAAACAACCTACAAGAAAATTCCCAAGTGTTTTAGACAAATAAAACCCTAAAACAGATGAGCCCTCGAAAAAACATAAAAAAAAACCCTAGAATTCTCTAAAAGATGTAAAGACCAATGTTCAAAGAACTGGAAAGGGGAGAGGTTCAACCAGAGGTCAAACCATGATGATGTAATAAATAAAAATATAAGTAATTAATAGACAAAATATAGAAAATTAGAAATAAAAATATATTTAAAATAAGACCATTTCAAAAAGAAGAAAACTAAACATATGAAATACTGAGATACTGAGAATGCCCAAATATTGAAAATCAATTAGAGACAGTAGATTGAAACTTAGAGTTGCGACCTACAATTCTTCTTCCGAAACGAGACCAGGAACCAACTGAGTTTGGACTGAAAAAAAAAACAATTAGACTTTTTTATAATTGAAAGTTAGCAAATTAAAAAAAAAAAAAAAAACAAAAACTGAAACATGAAAAAACAAAGAATAAGAGAGGATAAAAAGAGGAGACTGGAAACCTTCAATTCGTCTTCCTAAACGGGACTGTCAAACCAACAAATCTGGCAAAACAGGGGTTTTGTTCTCTCAAACAGAAGAAGGCTACATCATGCTATCATCAAAATGAAAACACAAGTGAAGATGCAAATAATAACAATTATAAATAATAAATGAAGCAACAAAATCAGAAAACAAAGGCTAGATACGATTGGTTTTGTCGTTCTGCGACTTTTTTCAACATACTCAACCGATTATGCATATGATTTCTTTGATGATTTCAAATTTTTAGTCATTTGCCAAATCGATTTTAATAAAGGTTTGGGTCAAAATAACAAAAATAGTCAAAGAAAAAATTTTAAACCTCACGCTTTTGGCGCTTGAACTTTGGCGCCTTGGTGGTGCCGTGGGTTTTGCAACCGCCTTCCTGGCCTGCTGAGTTTGAGAATGGCGGTGGAAGAAATGGGAAGAAGAAGAGAGAGCAAAAGAGAAATTAGGGTTTGAAATCGTTTTGGTCTTTTCGGGGTTTATAGATCGAAATTGGGGTAGGGCAAAGGTTTTCAACTTTTGTTTTTGTCTTTTTGTAGGTTTTTTGGTCTTTTTCCAGCTCAAAGACTTAAATAAATGAAGACTGCAAATAACCGGCTGGTTACACGAAACCGGGACCAGTTCACCCATTTCTAGGACCGACCGGACGGGTCAACTGTTTTTTCCGGTTTTTTTACAACTGTGGCTCTGGGCGTATGACCGAATCAACCGAGGGACTAAGTCACGGTTCAACCGGTCCAATCATCCAGTTTGGTAGAAATTGAAGGAGCTACACAAGAGGGTAGCTCAGTGGTTCGGCCCCAAAGTCCGGCTCTCTAAAGTCTTCTTTTGCTTTTGTTTCAGAGAGGAGAAAAAACAACTAGAATATTACGGTTTTCTTTTTTGAAAGAAAACCCTAAAAATAGATGAACCCTTGAAAGCAAACCCTACAACCCTCGAAAATTATAATAATAATAATAATAATACAACACATTCAAGTATGTCAAACATTCAATTTATTTATATCTTTCTTAATTGTATTATTTCAAATAACTAATATGATTTTATGATTTTAAATTATTAATCCCTACAAGAAATAATTTTATAATTTTAATTATCTTTTTAAAAGATCTTTTTATCAAACAAAAATGGACTTGTTTGGACTTGCCTTATTTGCTAATGTTATTTGTTGTTAGGATTGTTTATGTTAATATATTACAATCAGGGGTACTTGTGTATTTTTCACACCTTTTAAACACCATAATATATAAGTCAGTTTAGGAACCGCCACTAACAACTTTTGCCAAACATTCTCCCTTTTTCCTTTTGTTTCTTCTTTTCTTTTTTATTCTCTTTGAAACTAGATGGTATCAGAGCAGGATTGGAAGAAGTTTGAAGCTCATGTGCTTCCTTTTTTTCTCCTCTAATTTGTTTTGTTTTCTCTAGAATGATCAAAACTTACTAAATCTAGAAGAGAACTAATCGAATAAGTGATTTTTTGCTATTCTTTTTTTCCCTTTTGGCAATGCAAAGGGTGATTGTTTTGGGTGTTTTCTCTCTTCTTGTATTGGGATTATGAGTTCATGGAGAAGCTTTCTCAATACTTCTCTACTTTTGTGGTCTGCAATCCATTTGATTGTATGTTGTATGTTGTGCCTTGTTTTATGGATTCAACACCAAGTTTTAGACCAGCTGGTAATTTGTGTAGTGGTGTGTTTGGTGTTTGAGGATTTTTCTTTCATTCTAGCTAATATCATTTTTTGGTAGTGTATAGACTGTTAGGATTAGCTATATGTGTTTTCTCTTTCCCTTTTTTTAATCGGTGCTGTATGAAGTTGCTTCTATGTTTTCCAGTCGATGGTAATTGTTAACAATTAAACAAGACTGATTTTTATCTTGGTTGATGCTGTTTTCCTTTTCTAGTACAAGTTCTAAGTGTGGTTGCTACTCCGTTTGTGTTTGGGCAATCTCTATCGAATATTCAGTCATCTTAGAGGTCTCTAAAAGTCAGGATATGGTCAATCCAAGTGTTGGAGTTAGGGTTTCGCTATGGTGATCACTGTCCTTGATGGACCAAATTATTTGGAGTGGTGAAAAATGCTAAAATGTATGTGGGCTCAAGAGAAAAACTTGGGTATTTGTCTGGTGCTATTCTTCAACCTAAGGTGGTTGGTTCAACTCGTGATAAGTAGGACTGAGACAATTACTCGATTATGTCTTGGCTCATGACCTTTATTCACCTTTGTCTAAAGAAGAACTTCATGTGGGATGATGCAACAGGTTTTTCTGAGCAAAGGCACTATGCTCGTATATATCAACTCTAAGTAGAGTCATCCACTTATAAACAAGGGGAGAAAAAGCCTATCATCCTATTACTCTTCTCTCATATCAATGTGGAAGGAGTTTGATTATTATTAAGATGTTGACTAGAAAATGAATCAGATGCAAAAGAGTATAGAAAGCTTGTAATTCAGCAGTGGGTATTTACTTTACTATCTGGTCTTAATCCAAGTTATGAGCCCATTCATGTTCAAACATTAGGGAGTAAGGAGCTCTCATCAATTCAGGAAGTGTACCCTTTAATTCAATCTAATGAGAGTAGGAGGATAGCCATGAATCCTCTAGAAGGGGGAGCAACAAGTTGCTTTCTTTTTGGCCAAAGGGAATGGTGAAAGTAAAAATGGGTGGTGACATAATGAAGAAGACTGAAGATGATGACAAAGATAAGTTACAGTGTTCTCATTGTTTTAGACCTCAACATACCAATGAGACATGTTGGGATCATAAAACTTTCGGTTCTTCTAGAAGAAGAAACCACAACAGTCTGGGAAGAAACCTAGTTCAGCTAACTCTAGTATTGGTGCTCATCTCAGAAGAGTACCTCCATAGGTTCTAACTCTAAGGAGGGAATCTTGAATACCTTATGTGATTAGTTGGAAGAGTATGGAATGACTCGCTGTCAACTTGAAGAAGAGACTCTATCACTCCTACCTCACATGTAATCCACTTTAGGTAACCAAGCATCTACATTCCATATGTGTCTACTTCATCCTCCACCCCTTATATTATTGATTATGAGGCAACCAACCGCATGCTTGCTAAGACTGAGACAAGCATGTTTTTAGTATACCTTTTACTCCCTAGTAAAGACAAAGTAAGACTAGTAGATGGTTCTCACACCACCATTGCTGGCCAAGGTACTATGTCCTTACAAAACGGTGTTCACCTTCATTCAGTTTATCATATTCCAAAATTTCTTACCAATATTTTATCCATTACTTATATTACCAAGTCATTGAATTGTAGTGTAACGATTTTCTTCTAATTTTTGTGTTTCTAAGGTTTGACTTTTGTGAGAACTAGTAAGTATATAAGTGCTTTGCATGTGGTAATTCTAGATGATTATAATCACAGCAGTAGTGTATCCAATTTTTTTTTTATAAAACTCATGCATTTTTTTTTTGTTTTTTATTATTAATTGAATGCAGATTGCAAAATCCAAATCTAATTATGTAAACTCCTCATATTGGGATGCAAAGTCTTAGGTATCATTGTCAAACCTAGCTTCGTAGTGTATCTTTTCTATTTATTTATCAAAAAAGTGTAAGATTTAAAGAGAGAAAATTGAATGATGTGAAAAGTAATAATTGAAATTACATTTTAAACCTCACAATTAAATAGAGATTAGATGCAAAAAAATGGTGTAATTTTAGTTAAAAGAAAAGTTCTACAATCTTATTCATGTTTTTAGTAGGAGTATAAATATAGAATTATAGATGTGTTCAATTTTTGTTTTCTAATTTTTTTTATTTCTATGTGTGTACAAAAACTTTGTTTAATACGATTGATATAGGATATTGTATATATGCCCAAATGATTTTTTTTTGTAAAACTTATCTATTTTTTTTTCATTTTTGTGTTTTTATATTTTATTATTTTTTATTATTTAATAATGGTATTAAAGGTAATTAAAACATTTGACCCAAAAGTTGAACTATTGATCTCAGTCCAATAGGAAAATAATTTCATTTTTGGCTAGCTTAGATTATGTATTTCATTTTCATCATCAACAAAAATAATTCTTGTTTATTACTCTTACTTTTTAATTTTATTAATAAAAATATCATAAATGTGTCTAATTTTTCTATATTTTTGTAATTTTCTATATTTATTTCTATTTTAAAATTTTATTATCCAACTATGATTTCATGGGTTGACCAATTTGATTATGATGGTTGAATTGCTTAGTCATCACTTGGATTGTGGTTTTATATTTTTAAAATTATTGGACATATATCTAATTAATAGCAATTATTAGTGAAAAATTAACATAAATATAGGACTTAATAAGATAGAATGGGCATTAGCACCTCAAATATATGACTTAATGTGAAGGATTTGAATGAGGTGAAAAATAATAGTTCAAATTACATTTTTTGCCCTTACAATTAAAAAGGGACTAAATTCAAATTACATTTTTGACAATTTTTATATTTCCAAATGTGTAAAAATAATTCTTATTTATCGCACTTATTTTTGTTTAATATGATGAGTATACCATGTTAGAGATGTTTCCAAGCGCTTTTATTGCAAAATTTATGTTTTTTTTTTATTTTATCTTTTTTTATTATTTAATTAAGACAAAAAATATTGACACATTTGACCTAAAAGTTGAACTATTGGCCTCGACCAAATAGGAAATCAATTTCATTTTTTGATTGGTTTTAAAATTTGTATTTTATTTCCATTATCAATACAAAGAATTCTTCTTTATGACTATTTAATATGATTAATATCAAATATCAAATAAATGGCCCATTTTTTCTACATTTTTTATTTTATAAATTTGTTTATGTTTTAAATATGTTAATATTTAACAATGACATCATGGATTCACCCAATTGGCCCCTCACAATTAAAGAGGTACTAAATTCAAATATAGGGGCATTTTAGTAAAATAGAAAGTTCCACACCCTTATTATTGTTTAATGTCAAATATATGATAAAAATATTTCCAAATTTTCCTTTAATTTCTATATTTCTTTTTTCACTTTATCTATTTTTCAATTTTTATTGTTTAACTGTTGCAACATGAATTGGCCCATTTGATCCAAAATGGTTTAATTTCTTACCAGCACCTAAAAGAAAACACTATTTTTCCTTGTAGATTTTAAAAGTGTAATTTTTTATGTTATTGGAATTATTAATTTATTATGTATAAATTTAATTAGTGGAATTCAGTGATGAGAATAAATTAATGCTTTAAATATATGATTCAATGAGGGTGAATGGGAGTTAATACCTTAAATGTGAGGTTTAATGAGAAGGAATTGAATGCATTGAATTCCATTTAATACCTTAAATGTATTCAATTTACATTTTCTACCCTCATAAGAAAGGGACCATATTTCAAAACTGAGGGGTATTTTAGTTAATAAAAATTCCAAAAATTTTAGAAGCTATTCAAACTTTTTTTAGTAGTATAGATGGTTGGTAAGGGATGTGTGGTTGATGGTCTCAACATCTTGGATGATGTTGTTGCTTTGGAGTCAAGTAATACAACAAGTTTTCTAACTCAATATGAGAGTCCTTGTAATAATGCCCATGTTTTACTTAAGCATTACCGTCTGAGCCATTTGTCTTTTTCATCTTTAAGAGCTTTCTTCCCAAAGTCATTTAAGCTAGTGTTTGACTCTTCTTTTTAATGTCCTACTTGTCTTTCAAACAAACATTGTAGAACAAGTTTTCTCTAAAGAACAAAATTATTGATTTTTTCCTTTCAAATTGTTCATTTTGATGTGTGGGGCCCTATTATTGTAATTGTTAGGGGAGGTTGTAGATATTTTATTAATTACATTGATGATTTCATTCCTTAAGTAATACAAGAATTCCAAAGAATGGTGTTTACTCAATATAATGTAGAAGTCTTAGATCTTCACTTAGACAATACTCGTGAATACTTTAGAAATGATCAAAACCAACTTTTTCTCATCATGATAATTCATCAAAGTATGTGTTTGAGAACTCAATAGAATGACATTGCTGAGAGGAAGAACAATCGGTCCCTATTCATATTTTTGGTTGTTAATGTTCCATTCAAGATTTGTCCCCATCTTGTGGTAAACTTGTCCCACGTTCCATTCATTGTATTTTTCTTGGATATACCATGACCCAAAAGAGATATACGTGTTATTATCCCATTTCCTAGCATATGTTCATTTCTATGGATGTGCTCTTTGTTGAGTCTCAATCATTTTTTCTTGCTTCTTGTCAGGGGGGGGGGGGGGAGAATAGTAATAAGAAAAAGAAGCATGTTGTTCCTTCTATTCTTGTTGCTACTCCATTTGTTGTTTCATGCCATTTTGTTGTTCATCACCAGAAGAAGACATACTCGAGACTACATTTCTTGAACTAGAGGACTCTTAGGAAGCAAACCTGAAAAGTAGTGCATGTTCTATTGAACCAGTTAATGTTTCGTTGTGTGACCCTAATTGTGATCTTGAGCTCCCTTTTACTATTCACAAAAGCACTTATTCATGCACTACTAAGCACCCTATTAGCCATTTCATCACTTGTAGTATTTATCATTCTTTTCTTTATGCTATTTCTAATGTTTCTATCCCTAAGTCTATTGTAGATGCCCTAAACTCTCCTAAGTGGAAGAATGCTATGCTAGAGGAAATTGATGCTCTTTGTAAGAATTGCACGTGGAATTTGGTTGATCTTCATGAAGGGAAAAAATTGTGGGATGCAAATGGGTGATTGTAGTTAAGCATCATTCCAATGGTTCAAAAGAATGGTATAAAGCTAGGTTGGTGGCCAAGGGCTTCTCCTAGACATATGGTGTTGATTACAAGGAGATATTCTCTTTAGTTGATAAGATGAACTCTATCTCTCCCTTTCTACATTGATGGCAATTACATTAATTAGGTGTTTAGAGTGAGTTCCTGAATGGTGATCTTGAAGAAGAAGTTTACATGGTTCAGCTTTTGAGGTTTTCTTCAAAAGATATAAAAGAAAAAGTATCGTTTCAAGAAATCATTGTATGGCCTAAGACAATCTCGTAGGGCTTGGTTTGGAAGGTTCAATAATGCAGTCAAGCAAATTGGCTTTAGATAGTGTTAGAATAACCATACCTTTTTTGTTAAGAGAGAATACACTTATTGTCTATGTAAGTGACATTTTACTTATAGGAATCTGGGAATCAAAGATATAGAATCTAAAGAAGCTTTTGAGAGCTCAATTTGAAGTTAAAGATCTAAGCCCCTAAAATATTTCCTTGGATTGAAGTTGCACGGTTAGACAATGACATCTTTATTTCCTAGAGGAGTACATCCTAGATCTCCTATAGGACATCGGTAAATTTGGAATTAAACTAGCAAATATTCTAATTGATGTTGATCATACTTGGAGAAGAAAGTGACGAGTCCCTCTGAGATGAGACAATTTCAAAGACTTATTGGGAGATTGTTGTACTTGTCCATGTCCAAGCCTGATATAGCCTATGCAACCAAAGTGTTAAAGCACCATATGTGTGCTCCCTAGAACCATTCATCTTTTTGCAATAGGAAGAATTCGTAAGTACTTGAAGAAGTTTCATGCAGATGGTATTTCTCTTCTCCAAGCATGGTCACCTAAGGGTAGAGACATTTATCGGTGCTGATTGGACATTGTTAATGACAAACGACATATAACAGGTCATTGTACTTTCGTTGGGGATAATTTGGTGACTTGGAGAAGCAAGAAGCAAGCCATGACTGCTAGATCAAGTGCAGAGGCTGAATGTAGGGTCATGGATCATGAGATAACTAAATTGTTGCGGTTGAAAAATATGATGATAGAGTCAGGAGTAAAAATTCAACATCTAATGTCATTGTATTGTGACGATAAAGCAATGATTAATATAGCCCACAATCCTGTGATGCATGAAAGGATGAAGCATATTGAAGTAAACAAGCACTTCGTTTGTGAGAAGATGGAAGTCCTTAAATACTGTTCCTACGATTGAAGTAAACAAGCATTTGAATCGTATGATTTGATTAACAAATCTTATGATATATACTGTTCCTACGATTCACTATGATTCTAATAAATTCAATGAATATTTTTTGTTTATATGTAGTTTTGTGAAGGGAGATTTATTTTGAAGTCCTTAAATAAAAAATGATTTATTTACATTACTTAAGACCAGGCATTGTAAAGTTATAAATAACATATTGGCAATTCCACTTGAAAGGCAGCACTCTAAAGTCTAAACCATGAGTGACCCTGAAAACCGATGCGTTGCAATTTAGTACAATATAGCAATATTTTGAAGTTTGAACCTCTCCAGATAACAAGAATCTACTTATCTTTAGCCAGCTAGTGGTCCGTCACTGACTGGAGCAGCACTCATAGTTACAAATTTACAATGTTTATGGGGCAAGAAAATCTCTATACTTCACATAATATCCACTGTTTACATTGAAAGAGCATTCTGTTTATAAACAGAACACTTTATTTTGAATCTGGGTCTTTTCTCGCAGAAAAATGCAGTCATTTGATGCAGGAACATAAACGCATCATTTGAATATCATAGACACCAGTATTTCTCAGATGCTTAGAAACAGCACGCAACATATTAGACAATTGCCAGAACTCGGGAAGTAGACGATCATACCATCGTAAACCTTGGATTATAAATGTAAAACCTGTCCCACTACCAAGAACTCAGAAGCAAGCAGCCCCCTAGGGTATTGGGAGGGGTAGACTGGATGGGTGAATGTATTTAGGATTCGTTTCTTTGGCTCATGAAATCTTTCTCAGATTTATAAACGTAGAAGCTGGGAAAGAAAGATTCCCTCGTACTGTTTTCAAGAACATCAATGGTCAACATCAATGGTCAGCTGGAAAAGAAAGCTATACATGGGCAAGCAGGAATTCTGCAAATTTCAGCTTACATCAACAATTACAAAATAAAAGAACGGGTAATGTACAGAGATCTGCTTCAGAAATCCATTTCTGTAACAAAACGAAAGAATCACTTATATACATCTTTCTTTTTTCTTTGAGTAAAAGAATTGATCTGATCCCCATTTAACATCATACTAGCCACTAGCTTCAGAAATCCCAATGCCCTTTGACTACCCCTGTATAAATTTCTAGCTCTTCCCTGGCTCCCAAGGGAAAAGAGAAAGAGTTAAATACAACTACAAAGAATTCACAGAGAACTGATCCAATTTGCAAGCATACCAGTGATCTTCACAAACCTTCTTTCTCCTTTGTTAGCACCAGAAGATCATCAACAGAGGTGCTCTGACAGTCTGACTAGCACCAAAAGAATCTATCTGCAACCGAAAGAAGTATGGTAGATCGCAACATCGATTGTTCATCTGGTATATTGGTTGAAAATTTCACCCAAAAGATGCGTCCATGTATATCTAGGGAAGTGAATGCTATTTGACACGGAATTCATGCCTGAATATAGTCAGGTTTTGAGTGAATTTGTCCCTGTTCTTTGAATCCAAACTTCGAGTAACATCTGCCATCAATTTGTCAAAACACATGGAGAGGCGCTGCTGTTGATCTGTGGGCTGCAAGCCATGAAAATGGAACCGTTTCAGTAAGAATTAAGGATATTTGCCAAATGCCAGGGCAAGTAATCTCTTGCTCCAAAACAAAATAATACTTCACTATCCAGGGAAAGTAATCTTACAACTCAATATACAACCTAATAAATGTGCCAAGAAATCAATACTAGATAATCTACATAAAATCCCATTATCATTGCCTGATACTACTATACAAGGCAGAAAACCTTATAATGAATAACAGGAAGCAAAAGCTCAGGTCTGGGGATTCAGGATCCAAAAGCAGTCTGGGGCCCCATAATTTGCAATTCTTTGCTAGATTAGGATGATTGTACCCTCCTTCCCCCAATTCAATGGATCTCACCTTGAAGATTAAGTGGGCAAAAACTGAGTTCATATTTTCATCCAAAATGTCTTTCTGAAACAAATATTTGGATGGTTGTCAGAAGTGTTACTTCAAAGCATTGAAAATGGTGCATGAATCATATTATCTATATACATCTGATCATATTGATTTTGCCTCTTAGATGGGACCTATCCAAAGATGGATCCTGATCTAAATATCTGCTCAATGGCAAGTTACCAGAGCCCCTGCCACCAATACTAATTAGCAGTCCTCTGTCCCCAGATCCAAGCCAACCCTTTAGACCTTAAAAAATAAATGCATAAAACTACACCCTGATGCTTGTTCATAATAAAACAGTGTTTTCAACCTGTTGTTGACCCAGATAGTCAGACTGGTGACATGGTCATAATCCCTGTTTTTGTAAACCTCTAGCCCACTATGTTGCAAAAAGCAAAATTTTGGGTTAATGAACCATTGTCCCAGATGGTAAACTGTTGATCTATCTGAGCTGTTCAATGGATTCTCGTTTTTTATATCAATATTAATTTTTTGAATTTTTATGTTGATTACAGAATGGGTTTGACCCATTGACCTGGATGGTTGAACTGCTGATCTGTTAGATGGAAAAATGGTTCAACCTCTGGGCCAGGTTTTAAAACATTGTACCAAAATATTTGTGCTAAGTGCTGCACCAAATAGCCAAGCTAGAGAAAGGAAACTTACTTGAGAAGCCAAAATCTGAGCTTTTAAATCAGTAAATATCTGCACAGGAATTATTGAATTGTCAGTTACAAGTACAAGACGATCCCATGATTCACTTACCTAAAAACTCCTGTAGGATTCAATTCATTTCAGTTAACTGGGAATTTGATAAAGTTCACCAAAATAAAAGCCTATGGTGCACAATATGCAAAATATGATTTTCAAACTCTTTGGGTGCTTAATTGAGATTTTAAAGGTAATAAAGAAAGAAAAACAAGTTGCTTCCTGCAATTTATTCTGGTTATTAATACTTAAAATTAACTTGGCAAGTTTCCTAACCAGTTTCTTGAGTCATCATCATCACCATCCAAACCTTATCCCAACTATATGGGAATGGCTACATGAATCCTGTTTAACAATTAGCTAGTTTCTTGAGTACAACCCAGAAATTGGTTATGAATTATATACTTACATCCATGGTGAATGAATGTCTGGGTCCACTATCATGAGAGAGAAGTATTCTCATCTACTTTTGGGCTTCTATTTTAATTTTAAGGGTTAATTACTTAATATACCCTGTACATTTGAGAAACTACTTGCATACACCCTGAACATTTGAAAACAACTTATACGTGCCTTGTTGACTGGCCCGACATAACACAAATAGGACCCCTGTCAATGAACCGTTTAGAACCATTAACAGCTCACTACAAATGCTTTTATAATACCAAATTTGCCCATATATGTTCAAAACATTGGATCATCTTTTTCGTCTAAAACTATGAACATAACAACTGAATCAGTTTTGTCACGCAAATTTTTGAAATTTCCAACTGAAATCCTTCTCTAATTAAACAAGAAGATAAAACTGGTTTTATGTTCAAGAATGTGAGAAGCAGGGCTGGATAACCATCTGTTTTGTCATCAAACTCTTGAAACCTTCTCAATCTTCTCCCGTTTTCATATCTTCCAGCTTTTTTGTCTACCAGAACCCAACCCGGCTTCCCTGATTCTCATCCTGATGAACTCCTTATCTCAGTGAACATGCCAAAAATTTCACGATTGTTTTGAAATTTTAGGTTTTTGAGGAGCCACAAATTTGGGGGTCTGAGTTATGAATTTTTTTGGGGATTTTTCAGACGCATGTGCATCTGTACAATGCACATGTCACCGGTAGACAAACAAGGTATACAATATACCAATAGTGGTGTTTCAGACATCTGCAGATTTTTCAGACACGTGTTTCTGTCCAATCAGTCCAGCTCGAGTACATTTGGATTTACATGACAACTTTAGTCTTGTAAACTCCAGTATGTGCATTTGCCGATTTTTCAGACACACGTCACCAGCAGCCAAACCAGGTATGGTGTTTGCAACATCAAAGGGAGAAAGAAAAGAGAGAAAAAAAGAAAGAAAATGGCATCTTTTGAAAATTTAATGAACAGTTAAGGTCATTTTTGTCTTTTACATTTATCTGTTAGATTTAACCTTTGAAAGGTCAACAAGGCATATTTAAGTTGGCTTTGAAAGTTCAGGGTATATATAAGTAGTTTCTCAAATATGTAGGGCATATATAAGTAATTAACCCTAATTTTAATTACTTTTTAATGACTGGGGCATTGTTGTCCTCTTATGGAATGACAGTATGACTTGAATAAGGCTGAGATACCTTCTACATATTAAAAGTCATACTTTACCTGTAACATAGAGACAGATGAAAAATAAATGTACTTTGCACATCTAATAGAAAGCTTAGGCAGCTGAAAATTAGTTTGGAGGTCTTAGTTATCACCTGTTCACTTATAAGTATCAAACTCAGCATTGGTCTGCTAAGACTCCATTGGTTTCCACAGTCTTCAAATAAAACAATCTCAAATAGAGTCTTCAATAACTGTAGAAAAAAAAAATCACATCAACATAAGACTGCAAGAAAAAAAGGTAAAGACAACTTTTCATAAATTCTCGGGTAAAATATAAAAACCTCCCTGGGGTTTTCTTACAATCATATAAACCTCCTGCGTTTTGACACTAATAAAACCTCCCCTGTAGTTTTGAAAAAATATATAATAACCTCCCTTCCTTCAACTTTCCTGAGGGAAAAAGGTAACATAGTATACTAATTTCAAAATACCAGACTTATCCTTCAGAATAATCCATTTAAATGTAAATTTAATAAAATACACCAGAAAGACAATTTCATAAACTACCAGATTTACCTTTACCTTGCACCTATTCTCTTTTTTCACTTTCCACCCCCTGAAAGCTGATTGACAAGGCAGCCAAAGTTTGGTTCCAGAGAGGGCAGCGAAAGTTCGGCTACTGGAGAACTATAGCGGAAGTTTTTGTTAGCATCAAAACACTAAAGATTTTAACATTTGGCCACCCCCTGAAGCTCCATCAACTGTCTCTGTTCCAAATGGCTGCCAGTGACACCCCGTCCCCCAAACTCAAAATGAAAGAAAATCCAAAAGAGACAAAATTGTCATATTACGTCCCTGGTTAAGGACAAAATTAAAATTACTCAGCTAAGTTCAAGGGAAATGGAGAAGAGAAGAGATTGACCCAAGAATAGGTAAGACAATTAGGAGCATGGGATTGACTTGCAACCAGTAACCAACCAGAATAGCCCCCTAAAGCTCGATTACAGGAAGCACAATGAGTGAAAACAACTGCCTGGGAGAGTCATCCCTAGCTTTGAAGTGTGCTTGCAATTTTCAAACCAAAGTTTGAAGCTCTAATAGGGTCATGTGTCAGAAACTGTAAAGAGACTGGGCCGAATGGGTTGTAGTATCTTCTCTTGTAATATCTTTTCTTTTCTTGTTGTCTAATGGGCCTGTTATTTCTTTTTTGTTTAATCTCTTTATGTTACTGCCTAGCTGGCTGCCCACCTAAGGGCATACTTGTCATTACTCTAACATTAATTCTTAATAAAAAAGGATTAAAGGAGAAAGGGAAGATAATTCTAATCTTCTTCTTCTTCCTTCTCTTTTCGCCATCTTCTTCTCTTGTGCTGCTGCTCTTACTTCTCTTCTTCCTTTTTTTTCTTCTAATCTTCAAATTTACACCTAATATTTGAGGACTGATTTACATCTTGGTATCAGAGCAGGTCTATTTCTTCATTTTTTTTCTTTTCTTCTTCTTTTCCCATACACCCTTAGATTAAGAGAGTGTATGGAGAGATAGATTCTCTATAGTTCAGAGGATCTCTGGCCTAGTTGGTAGAGGGTTTGGAGAGTTTAAATCTGGCTGGATATTGCCAAGAAGCGGTGTTGTTCTGTTGCTGCCCAAAACCCTAGCCAATTAGAGATTTTCGAAGGTACAGGTAAAGGTGAAGCTTTGGGTGTGGTGCTCTATGCTTGGGAGGTGTCTTGTGACTCCTAAAGGAGGGCAGTTCAGGATTGGAAGAGATTGGGAAGTTCTGGTAGGAGCGGCTGCATCTTCTCTCTTCCTCCCCAACAGTTGGACGGAGTAAAACCCTAGTTTTCAAGCATCTAGGTTTTGGTTTGACTTCAAGTAAGTTTATATAGACAAAATTTCTAGTTCTTTGACTTTCGTTTGATTAATGGAATACGGAAGTGAGTTCAAGCAAGTGCCGGTTTCAGGCCTTGGCTCGATAGATTCCGTTTTGACTGGTGTGACCACAATCAAGCTAGATGGGACAAATTATCTTGCTTGGGCACAGTCTATAAGAATTTATGTCTGTAGTAGAGGAAAACTCAAATATCTCACAGGTAGTAAAGTGAAACCCGAAGAAACAAATCCTGAACTTGAGAATGCAAGAGAACTATACTGTCATAGGATGGTTGGTCAATTCTATGCAACCTCGTATAAGTCGGCATTATCTCTGGATGTCTTTGGCTAAGGAGATATGGGACAGTGTTACTGAGACCTATTCACAGAAGTTGAATGTAGCCAGAGTCTATAAGTTGAAAAGTGATGTGAATAACCTAAGACAAGGGGAGAAGAGTGTAGCAATCTACTACTCTATATTGAAATCCCTATGGCAAGAAATTGATGTTATGGAGACGGTTGTATGAGAGAGTAAGAATGATGCTGAAATGTATAGGAAGTTGGTGGAGAGAAATAGGGTGTTTGAATTTCTCACTAGACTCAACCCTGAGTTTAACATCATTAGGCAAAATATCTTGGCCAGAGATGAGGTTACACTTTCCCAGGCATATGCTATGATAAGCAGTGAGGAGAGTAGGCGGCAGGTTCAGTTGTAGGGAACACCTACAAAACACTTTGCACATGCTGGAATAAAGCCAAAGGGTCCAACTGAGAAAAAGGAGCAGATATGTGAATATTGCAAGAAACCGAGGCATACAAAGGGCACTTGCTGAAAGCTTCATCCTGAGCTTCTTCCTGATAGGTTTAAGAATAACAACAGTTCTAAGAAGGGCAGTCAGGTAAGAAAGCCTAAGACAGCTAATGTTGCTACAGAACCTGAAGGAGGAAATAAGGAGAGTGAAGAAAAATTAACCATTGAGCAGTTGACAGCAATGAAGGCGGATTTTGAAAAGTATGGGAGGCTACTAAATCACTTGGAAGCTACTATTTCTTCATTACACTCTTCCAACAACAACACATCATCTTCATCTACATTTGCTCACTCAGGTATTCATGCTTCTACAAATCATGCTTCAGTTTCAGGTAATCATAAAATCCCTTGGATCATTGATTCCGGTGCATCAGACCATATGACCAGCTTGTCTAATCTCTTCTGCTCAGACCATCTTCTCTCTGGCAAAGAGAAAATATCCCTTGCTGATGGGTCTCTTGCTCCCATCTCTGGTAAAGGAGATATAAAGACCTCTGACACCCTTTATTTATCCTCAGTCCTTCATGTCCCTAAACTTAACATAAACCTTTTATCTGTTAGCAACTTAACTAAATCCATGAATTGCAACATAACCTTTTTTCCCACTCATTGTGTTTTTCAGGACCTGCAATCTCAGAGGATGATTGGGAGTGGCCATGAGGTGAACGGAATATACTTGCTGGACACACCGGATCGAGCTTTGGGACCACCTCATGGAGTTGCCTTAGAGTCAGTTTTGTCAGAGTCTGTTAACAAAGTCTTGTTATGTCACTTTCGGTTTGGTCATTTGTCATTTTCTGCTTTGAGTCATTTGTTTCCAGATATGTTTAAGTGAGTGTCTTTATCGAGTCTTCATTGTGAGTCATGTGAACTGGCAAAGCATTGTAGACATTCTTATTCAGTAAGCAATAAAAGATCTCTTTCTCCTTTTCATATTGTTCACTTTGACGTGTGGGGGCCATATCATTTGCCAACTATGGGGGGTTATAGGTACTTTATCCTTTTTATTGATGACTACTCTCGTTACACTTGGATTTATCTCATGAAATCCAGGGACGAAATACCAACTATTGTGCAAAAATTTCATGAACTCATCCTCACCTTGTTTAACACTTGTATCAAAATATTCCGTTCTGATAATGCTAAGGAGTATTTTGAGATAACCCTCTCCGCCTATCTTGAAACTTTTGGGGTTATTCATCAAAGTTCTTGTTCCTACACTCCACAACAAAACGGGGTGGTGGAAAGGAAGAATAAACATGTGGTTGAAGTTGTCAGATCCCTCTTGTTTGCATCCCATGTTCCTATAAAATTTTGGGGAAATGATGTTCTTACTGCTACCTTTTTTATCAACTGTATACCCTCCCGGGTCCTTAACTTCAAAACCCCCTTTAGCCTTCTCTTCCCAGATGAGGATATTTTTTCTCTTCCTCTCCGTGTTTTTGGGTGCACTTGCTATGTGCATATTCACAGTCATCAAAGGCACGAGTTTGAACCTAAGGCTCGTAAATGTGTTTTTCTGGGATATGCTTCCACACAGAAGGGATATTGCTGTTTT